GGTAGTCAGTCAACTGCCACCCCCAAGAGGAGATGCAAGGTGGTGGTGGTGGGACCCATCTGCCATCTGGACCCCCTAGCCCATGAGGTCTGCTGCCTCCCTAACACCCACATCTGGGATGTTGCAGAGAGGATCCCTAGGCTCATTTGGCCCTCTAACCACTACACCATGTTCCTCATCCACATGGGCACGAATGACATGGCCAGGACTAATCTGGACCACATCATGAGTGACTACAGGGTTCTGGGTGCTGGGCTAAAGACACTGGAGCACAGGTAATCTTTTTCTCTGTGCTCCCAGTTGCTGACCATGGACCTAGGATGGAAGGATGTGTCAAAGAAATAAATTGATGAATCTGGCAGTGGTGCTACCAAGAGAGCTTCAGTTTCTTCAACCACAGTGCACACTTCAGGGAGAGAGGACTCCTGGGAAAAGATGGCATTCACCTCACATAGAGAGGTAAGTGGCTGTTCTCTGCTAGGCTGACTGATCTTCTAGATAGGGCTTTAAACTAAGATCCCCGGGCAGTGGGGAAACACTGCTTGGAGCATGTCTGGGGACTGGCACACAAGAAAGTTCTGTTGTTGGGGACACTAGGATAACCAGTCTTGCAAGAGCTGAGGGAATAGTTCTCCCTCAGTGTGAGAGGAAATAGAGGGTCTCAGTTGGAAGACTCCTGCCTGTACACTAATGCCAGGAGCATGGGGAACAAGCAGGAGAGCTAGCCCTCCTACTCTCCAGTGGGCATTATGATCTAGTAGGGATCATGGAGACCTGGTGGGACCCCTCACATGAATGGAATGTAGTCATAGAGGGCTACACCCTGCACAGGAGGAACTGAGTAGAGAAGAAAGGTGGAGGTGTAGCTCTCTGTGTGAGGGAGCAGTACACCTTCTTGGAAACTGACATCAACTCCAAAGAAGAGTGGCTCAAAACCCTCTGGGTCAAACTATGTGGGAGTGGGAGGGATGCAGTGAAAGAGACCTAACTGTAGGTGTATACTACAGACCACCAAAGCAGGGGGAGGATGCCAATCTACATTTCTGTCAAGAACTGGCAGGGGCCGCATGTACACGGGATATGGTCCCATGTTGCCTGGGAGGAACACTTGGCTAAGTCAGATCTGTTGTGTAGCTTCCTGACTTGTATTAAAGAGCTCTACCTGACTCAGGAAGTGCACGGGCCAATCAGAGGTAACACTTTCCTAGACTTGGTCTTCTAGCAGGGTTGAAGTTTTAGACTTTTAAAAAGCAAATTTCAACAGGCTCAGGGCAATAGTAGGAGAAGTGCTGTAGGACCAGGGACCAAAGGTAAAAGGAGTGCATGAAGAGTGGTCATTCCTCAAGGAAAATTCTCAAAGCACAAACAAAGACCATTCCTGTGTGGAGGAAAGGTAGCAGAAGGGCTGGTAAGCCCTCTTGGCTTAATAAGGATATCATGGTCATCTTGAAAAAGAAGAAAGAGGCATACAGGCAATGGAAGCTTGGGACAATCCCCAACGAAGATTATATAACAATGGCCTGCACTTGTAGGGAGAAGATTAGAAAGGGTGAAGCAGTGACTGAATTTAAGCTAGCAGCGGGAATAAAGGACAATAAAAAGTCCTTCTTTAGGTATGTAGCGAACAGGAGGAAAACAAATGGAAGCATAGAGCTACTGTTTAACTACTCAGGACAGCTGGTTACCGACACTCAGGAGAAAACTGAACTCCTGAATGACTACTTTGCTTTATTATTTCACCCAACTAAGAGGAAAATCATACTAGATATGGTTCAGAATGGGCATGGTGGGAAAAGAAAAGTTAGATATTTCTAAGTCAGCAGGACCGGATGAATTTCACCCGAGTGTGCTGAAGGACCTTGCTGAAGTCATCATAGGACCTCTGGTGAAACTCTTTCAAATCTCATGGTACTTGGGGGAGGGCCCTGAAGACTGGAAGCAGGCCAATGTTGTGCCCATAAGCAAGAAGGGGAGGAAAGAGGACCCAGGCAACTATAGGCCAATTAGCTTAACTTCTATCCCAGGGAAAATCCTGGAAAAAATCATCAAGGAGTCTATATGCAATACACTTGCAGAAGGTAGAATACTGAATGACAGCTGGCATGGCTTCATCGCAGGCAGATCTTGTCTTACCAATCTCATCTCCTTCTATGACTGGGTAAGTTGCCACCTAGATAAGAGAAAGTCAACATTATATACCTAGACTTGCAAAAGGCCTTGATCTGGTATCCCATGATAACCTCAGTGGAAAATAGGAGGATTGTGGGCTTAACTGCTTGACAATTAGGTGGGCAGGAAGCTTGATGCAGGGTAGGACCCAGAGAGTTCTAATGAATGGATCCATGTTGTCCTGGTGAGAAGTGGCCGGTGGTGTCCCTCAGGGGTCCATGCTTGGTCCAGTGCTCAAGATCTTTATCAATAATTGGGATGAGGGTGAAGAGCTCATTGGCCAAGCTCACAGACAACACCAAGTTATGGGGGAGTGTGGTCACGCTAGAAGATAGGCTGCAGATACAGGCAAACCTAGACAGGCTGGCAAGTTGGGCAGATCAGAACCAAATGAAGCTCAACATTGAGAAGTGTAAAGTGCTCCACCTGGGGATGAACTACCCCCAACATACTTACAGGTTTGGTAGTGCCAATTTGACTAGCACCATGACTGAAAGGGACCTGGGGTAATAACAGACTATAGTATGAACATAGTATGAGCATGAGCATGATGTTGTAGCCAGCAGGGCAAACAATACTTTGGCATGCATCATCCGATGCATCTCAGGTAAAACCAAGGATGTAATTCTTTTGTTTTACTCAGCATTGTTGAGACTGCAGCTGGCATCACACTTCAACAAGGACATAGAAAAGCTTCTGAGAGTCCAGAGAAGAGCCACCCATATGATCAGAGATTTGCAAAGCAAGCCATACAAGGAAAGGCTGAGGGACTTGGGCCTCCTCAGCCTAAAAAAGAGAAGGCTGAGAGGGGACTTGGTAGCAGCTTATCACTACACCAGGGGAATACATCGAGGGCTCAGCAAACAAGTGTTCACCAGGGCACCCTTGGGGAAAACCTGGATTAATGGCCACAAACTCCTGGAAGACTGTTTCAAGCTTACCTCTAGGAAAAACTTTTTCACAGTCAGGGTGTCTGGATTATGGAATAAACTGCCTCCAGCCGTGGTGAAATCACCTACGCTGGAAATCATCAAAAGGAGATTGGATGGTCACCTTGCTGGAGTCACCTGACCCCAGTTGTCTTTTCTGCCTAGGGCAGGGGGCTGGACCTGATTATCTTGTGAGGTCCCTTCCAGCCCCTTACAATCAATGAATCTATGAATCAATCTATGAAAACATCTTCATTATTTGTGGGCCATCCCTAACTTGGGGGTCCTTCCTCCCCGAGGTTTGAATTTTGAGGGTAGGCAACAGTGACCTTGGCAGTACTCCCTCCCCCAGCACCAGAGTAATTCCAGGCTTGACAGAAAAGTAACACAAATTAGAGATGGGTCAGAAATTATTCAGGCCCTCATAGGAGTGAGTTTGAAGGCTCCCCTGGTGGCCCTGAGCTCCCAAGGGGAAGCAAGGGTCAGGGACACCATCAGTCCCTTCACCTCAGTCCAGACTGGTTCTCAGTCTTGAGTGTTTGCTCCCCTTAGGCAGCTATGCCATGCTGCTCTTCTGCTTACAGAGCTTGGATTAAACCCCAGTCACTGTAACTAAAGACTGAGAAAATTATTTCCTCTACTGGCGCTGAGAATGACGTGTAAGCACCTGTGATTCTAGGGGCCTTCTGATGACTCTGTGATTCCAGATGGAGAATGCTGCCATCTCCAAATGGCATTATCTGCTGGCTTTAGCTCCCCACTCTTGCTAGGTGGCATCTCCAAGTTATCTCAAGGACTAGGAACAGACATTACACATAAACCAGTGTAAGTGATCAGAAACTAGTCTAAACCTGTAACAGAACAGATGTTCAGTGCACATAAACCAATTTGAAAATGGATGAAACCAGTTTGAGATAAACCTGGTTGAATGTAGTATCAGACACAACTGATTTGGGTCAAACCAGATTATGCAAGGTCTGCCCCAGACCCCTCGCTGGTTTAAGCTAAACCAGACACCCCCAGCATCCTAGCATGCTCTCTGAGCTGGGTGGGTCTCTCTGCTCCACAGCAGGGCTGGCCCCTCCCCTCTGCTCCCTGGGCTGGACTCTGGTGGAGACTTCTAGGCACAGCAGGGTCTGCTGGCTTCCCTATGCCCTCCTCCCTCCTTTTCACCATTTGCTGCTTAAGCAGAGATCCTTTCCTCCTCTCTCCCACAGCACAGACTGTAGCCAGCATGTGGTATGCTAGCTAATGCTAAGTAAGGCAGACAGAACAGTGTCTGCTTAGGACTTTTTGGAAGTAATCAGCAGCTCAAATGGTAATGCCCCTGCATTCCTTCCTTTGGAAAAAAGCTGTGTAAGAAAAGCTTTTAATGAACATGGCTTTGTTTTCTAATGGGGTGTTAAATCCTAATAACAGCTGATAAATGCTCTGTCATCAAGTGGGGGACCCCACCCTAATCACAGTGTCCTGCTGGGGCCTGGCCAAGCCACCCTCAGGTCAGCTCTGTGCAAGGGAGGAATGCCGTAGCACCCCCTGGCTTCTAGCCTGAGCCACTGCAGGCATGCAGCTGCATTTCTGGAATGTCTGTTTGGTTACAAAACTGATTTAGCCTGCCCAGGTTAGACTAACCTGCACAGATTGAATCAATTCGGGCTCAAGCTTTTTGAGTGTCTGTCCTTAGACAAGGAGTTCTTTGGCCCTTTGTGGAACTAACTGCTAGTTGGGCTGGCTTCCGACCTCTCTCTCCAACACCCCTCCAAGCCAACTACTTGGGAGTGCACATTAGCTCCTGAATAATGCATCTTAAAAGGAGCCTCCCTCCTCCCTGTGAAGTAGGCCTCCTGTTTACCTTTTCTGTCTGCCCTCTTTCTTGAGTTTAACTACATGAGAATCAAGTTGCAAGTGATCACAAAGTACAATTAGCAGTCTTCACCAGAACCCATTTTTTTCTAACTCTATTTATATTTTTCCTATTTTTCCTAAAACAATTTAACATGCAAGTATAATCTCTTGTGCAACTTTATGACACTTCCTGTGGTGCAGTAGGCAACTTAAGAGAAGAGAGTGCACTCTGGACAGACCATTCAGTATCTTCTTAAAAGAGGAAGACCATTTTTCTGGAACTGCCAGCAGCTGCTGTGGAGAAAAGAAAGCAGTCACTTAATATAGAAGAATAAAGCAAGGCTCTCCAGAGGTCATTTAGAAAATGACTTTTCTCAAGAAACAAGCCTCTCTTGGTGACAGCATTTGCTTTTCTATAGGGAAACACCTTTGGATTTCCAGTCCAGGCTTGTAATCACTAAACCATTGCACTTAGCCAAAATGGAGTCTACACGCAAGGTGAATAAGCCATGTGTTCTATGAAGATGTGTGTTAGGGTGGGACACTGATAACCAGCTGGTCTGTGTCCTCTGCTATGGCCATTTCATGCTGGGAATCAGGAACTACCCATCTCTTTCCTGCTGTGCTGCATGTGAGATGGTAGTAGAGCAGCAATGATGGTCTCTGGGTAAGTCAATGAATGTGGATTCAGGAGGCCTACAGTCACTTCCTAGATTAGTTACAGACTTCCTGAGTGACCTTGAGTACGTCACCTAACTTAGCCAGTGTCAGTTCCCCATACATACCTGTATCGACCCCCATTTCTTCTGGTATGGGAGGATCTTTCTTTCCAGCATCTTCAGACAGTGTTTCCAACTGTTTCATGGAAACAGTGAAAAAAAAAAAAAGAGCCAGGCAGGGTTCTGTTTGATCTGTGATCCTCAGGATCTCACAGCTGCAGAATTAGGGGTGGTGGGGACTGGGGCTGTTCTCCCAGCCAAGGTTCCTGGTAGTGCCATGAATGACCAGGTGAAGCCCAAGTCCAGGAACTAGCCAACCTGAGCAGAGGAAAGACACAGAATAGGTATCCTTCATCTACACTACTGGGCATCCAGAAAGCAATTCACACAAGAATCTCTAGGAATGAGCAAAGTACCTAGGGGTTAACAGCATGGACACTGTTGCAAAGAGGTGTGGGTGCCAGGAAAACTTCTCATCTAGAATGAGGGAGGGGAGAGCAATTCTAGTCCCCAGCATGTAAGAAGATGACAGAAGAGCTAGAGAAAGTACAGAGAAGGGCTATTCAAAGGATGGAAAGGAGAGATGAGGCACAAAGGCCTCAAATGTACAAAGTATTCATAGATTTGAAGGGCGGAGAGGGAACCAGAGTGATCACCTAGTTTGATTCCCCACTGAAATTGCCTACTGAACTTCAGCAAGTGCTATCAGCATCGAGCCAAATAATTTCAGATGATGCTCCCACCTGTCTTTTACAAAGACCCAGCCTTCATTTCAGGACTTCACGTGAGGGACAATTAATCATACCCCTGGGTAAGTTGTTCCTGTAGTTAATGACCTGTTGTGTAACAAGAAAATAGTGTGCATCGTATTCCTAGAATGAATCTCCTCACTTCATAAAGGATATGGAGAAGCTTGAGAGAGTCCAGAGGAAAGCCATGCACATAATTAGAGGTCAAGAGAACAGGCCTTAAGAGAGGTTGAGAGTGATGGGACTCTTTAGTCTGGAGAAGTAAAGGCTCAGGGGTGACTTGGTGGCAGATTATAAGTACACAAGGGGTGTGCATCAGGACCGGGGATAATGTCTGTTCACTAGGGCACCCCAAGGGAAGACAAGGTCTAATGGTCACAAACTGCTGGAAGAACATTTTAGATTGGACATAAGGAAAAACTTATTTACTGTCTGAGTCTCTGGCGTCTGGAATACACTCCCCCCAGAAGTCGTGCAGACACATACTCTGGATACCTTTGAGAAATGTTTGGATGCTTATCTTGCTGGGGTGATCTGACCTCAGGTGACTTCCTGTTCATTGGGCAGAGGGCTGGACCCAATGATCTTACAAGGTCCCTTACAGCCCTAATGTCTATGAAATCTATGAAATCTGTCCACGGGGTGGGGGTAGGTTGTAGCCATGTTGGTCTAAGGACATAGGCAGACAAGGTTCTTTGGGTGAATCGGATATCTTTTATTAGACCAACTTCAATAGGGGGAGACAGTACTCAGGCTTGTTCTCCGTCAGAGTTGTTCTCTGTCAGAGCTGTCATAAACAGAAGCTGAGAAATCAAAGGTATAACTTGCTGTGGCCTGCATGTCGGGCCCAGTACTGCTCCAATGACAACGCTTCTACTGATGCCCTTGTGTGCTGGGAGAGATGCACCCAGGAAATCTCTCCTTCTGACAGCTGGAAACATTCACTGCTTCAAACTAAACAGTTGGAAGCCATTGAAAATATTGGAGGGGCCATGACCAGGCCCCCAGCCTCACAGGTCTTTAGAACTTGGACTTTTGGGCAAAGCCTGCCCTCAGGTCCTCCAAAGCCTTATGGAGGGAGAAAGCATTGAGATCCTTTGTCTGCAGCCCAGCAGCAAGGCAGAATTGTATATGTGGGGCCTGATTCTCCAGCTTGGGGCAGACTTTTTGCACTGTTTCTGTAGCGCAGTGGTTCTCAACCTTGTTAGGCTCAAGGCACCTCTTGGAAAATGCATGCTCTTAGTCTTCACTTGTCTGAGTACAGAAAAATATTAGAGCAATCCTTCTGGTGCAAAGAACTTTGAAGGGCTGCAATAGGGCAGCGTGGTTTTAACCACTCTGGATTTCTATTGGAAATCTCTGGGTTTATTTTGTGAATCATGTTTTACTCCTACAAGTGCTAACATTGTGTGGTACCCTGTGGCACCCCTGAAAGGATCTCAAGACACTCCACAGTGCTGTGGTACCCAGTTTGAGAATTTTATCCTAGTGGATTGGGGATGTACAGCAGGAGCAGCTGACAGAGATGCCCTGGCTCTAATGCCCCTCTGCTGAACATGTCATTCCATCAGTTGTGGTTGTATAGATTGATCTGGGAATGGGAAGGAAGCATGTACCATGTTAGCAGAATAAATTAGTAAATTGTATGGAAGCTCAGATTCATTGGCACAGTCCTACTGTGTTGCAACAGTGAAAAGGTCTGGTTACAAGCAAGCAGAGAGTTGGACAGTGTCCTGAGCACCTTCATACAGAACCTAGTCCAACATAGGGACAGCTTTGTCTGGAGACCCCAGATGATCCCACTCCATCACAGCTCCCATTTTTGCTGTACCACCAGAAAAGTTACCTTAATTGTTCACTGTCCATGGATGAAGCCAGTGGGCTCCCCAAATACAGAGAGGATTCAACTTGAATGGTCTCCTCTATCTGCTGCAGCTCCTATTCTTCCTCCCACTGTTCCTTTGCTTCAAGCTTTTCCTCCACCTTCTCCTCTCCCTTTTCATTCTCAGTGTACTGGGCTGCCAGTTGTGCAAGGGGGTCCGCCCTGGGTTGAAGAGCTTTCAGCATGTTCCACACAGGCTTCAGCACCTTCTCAGATGAGGTCCTGCTGAAGGCCTGAAATCAAAGAGAAAGCTTTTGAAGAGGACACCGCCTCAGAATCCTTTCTAAACCAGCTTTTCCTACAGGTCACTAATGAGAGTGAACTAAACCAAGCCCCTTTGAGATTTGCATTCAGATCCATTCTATGAACTTCAGCTGAGCACCCAGAAAAATCAGGACTGTGCAAAGTTTTGGTAAAGGAAAACTGCTTTGTCCATCTATTGCATTTCAACTTTTTGTCTGAAAACATATCAGAAACAAAAACTAAGGAGCCACTATTTGTGTCAACTATTAAGACCAAATACTTCCTCTAGGCCCCAGTTTAGGAAGGTTTTTAAATGTACTTTTTAAAGCAAGTACCATTAATTCCAATTGGTCACTAGCTCAGGCTTCAAGTTATGCAAATACTGAGATTCTTTGTCCTAGGCCCAAACACTGCAAATCATTGAAGCTTGTAAGCACTTCTATTGACTTTGGTTGGATTCCTGAAGTCTTTTCCTGGATCAGGGCTCTAGTAAGGTCACAAATGAAGTTTTTATTTTATTTTATTTTATTTTTAAATAAATCCACACATGAACCTTTCTGTGTCACAAAATGGTCAGTTCCCACCTTCTAAATAAACGCTCTGGTGTTGTGATGAGACCAAACTACTCAATCCCATGGGTTGCTAAATAGACTGGGTCTGGGTTACCTGTCACTGTTTTCACATCTGGGTTATCTGCACTCATTGCCTGGTTTACACTCCATGTCTGATATCCTTATTTTGGGCAGCAGGACTCAGCAGTGGGATCTTGGAACCATTGTCTAAGTCATCCAAAGCTCAGAAATTGGGCTCTGCAAAATAATTTCTTTTGGATAAGAGTTGCAGCTCTATGGAGAACTAGCTCCTGAAACCATCTGTATCACTCTGGACACCCATACCATAACCCCCATATTTATCAGTCTCTAGTTTTGACCCAAACCTTTCAGGGGAGGCAAAGCCCCTCATACTGCTGTATGTATTCTTCTCTTCCTAGTGATCAAATGGCCCTTTTGGCTTGAAGAGCAGCTACCTTTGAACCAGTCTCTGCCATCAGTAAGCAAAGCAGAGAGCTGTAGCTGTCTTGCCCATATGCGTAACCCAAGGGATTCCAACCCTCTTCTTATCCTGACAGATTTATTGGAAAGACAGTAGATTCAAGGTTAATAAATTAACTGACCACTAAGCCAGAATCCCAGCTAGCGAGACTCCACCACATTGACGGCCCACTGCAAACTCTCTAGGAGATGGTCCACCACCTTCATAAGAGCCTTCGGCATTCATAGTAGATGGGCTTTCAATGCCACATGAACATCTTAACAAAAGATCTAGTTAGAAGCAAAATAGCATTCAGAAAACAGGATTGCTCCTGCCTTATTCTTTCCACTTACCTCCCCTGGCCTTACAACTGGTTATCCTTTGCTACCCAGAGAGAAATGACTGTGTTCTTTTCTCTGTGCCTCAGATCTCAAATGTTCATCTTCAAGACACTTCTCAGCCTGCGATGCTCTTAGGTCTCTTAGGCCATCCCTAGTTTGAGCAATGAATGCATCTTGCACTTTCTCAAGAGGTTCTGTTTTTATGGGAATGTCTTGTAAATGATCAGACACCAAGTCTGGAGGAATGTGTACATGTTTTATTCTAATACAAGGGATTATTTTCACAGGCAACTCCTCTGTCTCTGTTGCACTTGAACCTGGGATTGCCTCCTCAGAACTCCGTTTTGGGCTTTGCACTAGCAGACACTTGGGAAAGAACTTTGTCAGCAATTCTGTCTGGGTTCATCCCACTCTGGCTCAGTGTCACTAACTGCCTGTAAAAGGGGACAATCAGATAGTTCTTCAGTTATTACAGTAACCACTTATTGAAAAAGTGCATCAAAACCTGTTACATTATCATAAAGGTCTTGCTCAGATCCAGATTTTTGTAAAATATTCCTGAAAATAGAAAGAACAACTCAATTAACTGCTTCTTCCTGTTCTGGATGTAGATGTTGTTCTTCATCTGTAGCTGCCGCAAGGCTGATTTTATGGTTGAACAGGCCTTGTTCCATGGCCTGTTTAAGTTTCTCAGCAATTTCATTCACTTCAGCTCTTGATAAACGTTTTCTGTAATTTGGGCTTCTGCCATCAGTTGAACTTAAGACTTTTGACAGGAAACTACTTAATATTTCTTCCACAAATGTCGTGGGTACCACAGGAATATGTGGGTTTAAAGTTGGTTTTGGAATCTTCTTTATCATGCCAAGATCAGTAGGGAGTTTTTCAAGAATCCTAACACTTTCTGTTGTTGAAGATGAAGTAGGCAATGTGTTCTCCTCTGAACTAGCTTGAAATTTAGGTTTGGCAACTTCTTTTGCTATTGAAGCTGCTATCCTATGAGCTAAAATATATTTCCTATTTGTTAGGTCTCTGCAAACAAAATGTCAGAATCAGAATGTCCTACAGTGCCTGTGCAAGCCGAATGGAACAAGTCTCCCATAGCCCAGCTGTCTTCAGTGTGTAAAAATTCTCTTTCACTGATATGTCCATTCATGTTCATCTGATGTTTTGACAGAAGTACTTGGAAAGCATATAGTATTTTTCTAGTTGCACTGTTCAGTAACAAAGTCTTTTCTGCATCCAAATCTGCAATGGGAACGAGGGAAGAAAATGTTGACAAAAGATTTGCTGCTAGTTTTTCTATGATAAGAGGAACTATTTTACCAAGTTCTGATGATAAACTTTTTGGGTAATCTGAAGGCTCAGTGACAGTCTTAGTGTATTTTCAACAATATTGTCAGCTTCAGCATAGCGGTGAAGTGGTAATTCTCCAGAAAGAGAGCTCTGCAATGGATTCCCAGAAAACCAAGTCACAAAGAGCTTCAGAAATAATCATGCACCCACTTCTTAAATACAGCTGCATGTTGAATTTAGACTGAAACTGTATCAAAAGCTTGTTATAGACCGACTCAGCAATTGTTTGAATCATATCATCCTCCCTGGAATGCAGATGTTCAGTATGCTAGCTGGAAGAGTTCTCATCTGCAGAGATTTTTGCCATAACTTTACTGATGACCTTCATGTGAATCAAGTCAAATTCTGCAAGTTCCATTTTCTTTTCTGTAGAGGAAGATGTGCTGGGGGTGGCACGGAGAATATTAGATAAAAGTCTGCTGATTATATCTTCCAAAAATCTGTGGCATACCCCCAGAGGACGTGGGCCTTTGGCATTGGGTGTTGCTTTTGGTAACATTTTCTAAAAGCTTCTCTTCAATTTCCCCAGGCTTTAGAGGTTTACACAGAGCTGAAGAGGGTGCTTTTACTATGGGTTCTTCCTATTGGTAATCAGTAATTTCTCTCCTTATCAAAACACCTATGCTCTCTGTTGACACATTCTTGTTGCTTTTCATGTCTGAATAAACCAAAACTTTGGAAGCACTTTCTTGCAGAAGATCAGATAAACTGGAGTGAAAAATTTTGGCCATCAATGGCAGGGGAGAGACCTTGGTCTTGAGAAAGCTGTGGCCTGAAATATGGAAAGCTTGTTTAACACTGAATCAACTACATCTGTGCTGATATATGAAGGATCACTTCCAGGGATTGTGCTGTCCTGAACATGGAAGTATTGTGAAGGGACCAATTTGCTCATTAGTTCATCACATATTTCTTTCAAAGAAGCATTAGCAAAAATACTGGTCGGTGACTGCAAGGGCTGAGGCTCAGTTGCATATGTTGGCAGTGGTTTGCTGTAAGCTCCCTGCACTGCCTTTTGTGGTACTTCCTCTTTGGGAAATATCTTTCTGCATGATGAAAAGAAGGGCTTTCTTGTAAACTGCCTGCCAATCTGGGGTAGAGTTACTCTGAAGCAGATTGCCCTTGGCTTGGCTAGTGTTTCCAGATGTGATGTAGAAGGTTTGAGCCTCAGAGCTCCTGTGCAGTAACTCAGCTTCCTGATGTGGGTTGTACAAGCTCAGAGACTTGACGCTGCCTTGGAATTTGCCCTTCCCTTTATACCTGTTCCTCAGAACATAGCACTCTTCCCTGGACATTGATCCGTGAAAAGAATTTTCTAAACATGCCTATTGTAGGGTGACCATGTTTGAAGTCAGAAGAAATATCTTCCCTAATGAGACGGTTTTGTAATTTGCCATCTTTTCTTGGTGATTTGTATTTATTTAAAGTAAGTTTGGCTATGAGGAAACTTCTCAGCTTTGACAGTCTGCGTGGGATGCTCAAGCAGAGCTCCCCTGCACAAACTAGAAATATTGTCAACCCGATGAGGAGATACCACTGCTGGTTCAGCCTCTGGAAAATTCTCTTTCAAAAACTCTCTGCCTAGAGACAGTGCCCTGCTTCTTGTTGGAGACAGGCCAGGTGACTTGAGAAAACAGTGGGATTAGTTTCCCTCTACTCCCTCTCTTCACACATCCAGGTGATCTGCTGGGTGGTCTCTTTCTGCTTGTGAAGGCAAACTTTTTGGCATTGGCCTCCTCATCTCTCATGTCTCTCAGCTATTTTTCTCTCTTCATATTGTATTATAGCCGGATATATGATGTCTGTTACCTCAGCCACAAACCACGTTATTATATTTGTAATTTCATCAGTCATTTCTTTGGTCTTCTTTTTCTGTAGCAGGAACAAATGAGAAAGGACAATAAATGTGTTAAGTAATTCCTTCGTTCTCCCTTCTGTACATGGCAACAGCTGTCTACAGTGATTCAAACTTTTAGGATAAACAATAACAGCCCCTCTTGAAAAGTGACATGCGCCACCAGAGCCCTTTGCATAGGGTGGGATATAAATCTGTTATATAAATATAACAGAATAAATATAGGAAATAAAGAAACAGCCAGTTCAGGAAAGGTCAGTGAAGGACAAACTAGGATAAGCATTGCTTTTCCCTGAATTGGTTTCTGAAGGGCTGACATGCAATATGAAGAACATGGAAAAAAATTATGACCATCTTGAAGCTCAGAGGAGGTTTGTCACTGATTTCAGGAGGGACAGGACTCCCCCACATGAGCCTAGAGATGACCTAATTTTGCCAGGTTACCCTATTACAAGTATCAGGGTGGTGAGGAATCTGATACACCTTTGGACACTGTGTAGAATGGACCCTGTGTTCAGAGACTCTGCAACATGCCGAGTGGAAAATGACAGGAAATCTTACTTCGCGTTAGGGCTGATATTGGGACTGTCTCTAACTCACTCCCCCACCCCAATAAAACACTTATCAACTAGATTACTTCTCCTTATGGAAAAGAATCAATTACTTTTCAGACACTTTCTCCATCTCTCACCAAAATTCAAAAGCTGTGTTATCCCATGGCAGTGCTGCTCCCTGCTCTCTCTTAGGATGAGGCTTTTAAACCCTCGGTCTGCCATGGAGCTTTTGTTTTTCAAGGATTGTGCAGGCTTTTGCTAATTAACACCCTAGCCCCTAGTGTAGGAAGTAAAGAGTTTTCCCCCCATTTTATACATAGAAGAACTGGGTCAATACTAATCTGTGGCCACGGGGCTGTGTTGCCTTCTACAGTTTTGTCACCCTGTTGTTTCCCTTGGGCTAGGGAGAGACATTACACACAAACTGGTTTAAATGATCAGAAACTGGTTTAAACCTGTAACAAAACAGATGTTCAGTGCACATAAACCAGTTTGAAAATGGATGAAACTGTTTTGAGATAAACGTGGTTGAATGTAGTATCAGACTTAACTGATTTGGGTCAAACCTGTTTATGCAATATCTGTCCCAGACCCCTTGTTGGTTTAAGTTAAATCAGAGTCCCCCAGTATCCCAGCATGCTCTCTGGGCTGGGCAGGGCTCTCTGCTCCACAGCTGGGCTGCCCCCTCCTGGCTGCAGCTCCAGCAGAGACTTGTTTGGCTTCCTCCTGCTCTCCCCTTTCCCTCACCACTCCCTGCTAAGCAGGGATCCCCCCTCCCCTCTGCCTTACACACCATGTGGTCTGCTAGCATTAGCTAGCAGACCACATGGTGGATACGGTCCATGCTGTGGCAGACATCATTGTCTGCTTAGGGCTTTTTGGAGCTAACTAACAGCTCAGCTGGTAATGTCCCTCCATTCCTTCTTTGTTTAAGAAGAGCTTGAACTAATGAAAGAGGCTGTTTGTTTTCTGATGGGGTGATAAATGCTGATAACAGAGCTGATAAATGCTCTGCTATCAAGGAGGGGAGGGAACCCCTCCCTAATCCTGCCTAGACCTGGCCATGCCCCACTCAGCTCAGCCCTGTGGAAGGGAAGGTAGGGCTGCTCTAGTGCCCCCCACCTCCAGTTTCTATGTATCTGCCTGTGTGTCTGAGATGTCTGTATGATTAGGAACTGATTTAGCCTAGCCAGGTTAGACTAACAGCTCAAAAGATCAAAAGATTGAATCAATTCAGGCTTAGGCTTTTTGAATGTTTATTCCTGGCCTCGGAGTTGAAAAAAAGACTCTGTCATACAGTCAACCACATCTTCTAGCATGATATCCTGCTCACTTGTTCCAAAAAGAATGTGTAAGATTGTGTGGAACAATGCCATTTGGTCATGTCAGTGCAACAGTACATGTCATGGCAGGGTGCACTTTGTTTTTCAGTTTTGACATCATCAGATTCCACTTCTGACATCTCCCATGCCCTGACTTGATAGTTTTCATAAGTTTTCCCCAAAGGTGCCCTGGTGTACAGTTGTTTGCTGAGCCCT